TAAAGCTTATAATAATAAACTTTAAATTTAAAAAAAGATTAAAGTTTATTATTATAAGCTTTATTTTTTTTAAAAAATTTAATTCTTCAAAAAAATTTTTTTAATCCTAATTTTCCTCCCACACATTTTTATAATTGCCCATTTTCTTTTTGCCTTAAACCATTCCCGCGAACAGCGAACAACAAATAGCCCCGCCCACTTTGCCTTAGAGAATTTTTTCTTAAATATTGAGAAATTGAAAACACAGTGATTACGACCATACCGCGTTGAAAGCACGCCATCCCGTCCGATCTGGCAAGTTAAGCAACGCTGGGCTTCCTTAGTACTTGGAACGGAGACGTCCTGGGAATCGGGGGTGTCGTAATCTTTTTTTAATGCTTTGGCAAAAACTTGAGTCTAAGAAAACACACTTGAGTCTATAGAAAACAATTATTTAACTTTTTTATAAATTGTAGTTTATATATACATACCTTTACTTGAGTATATATTTTACTTGAGTCGATTATTTGATTGCCTTGGGTAAATTTGATTGACTGGGGGGGGGGGATTTTTAATCGGATCGTCACAGACTCATAAACCAAAAATGCCTGGTGAAATTTGATTGCCTGGGGGAACCCTATTGCCTGAACCCTACGACACTTGGTCAATTGCACTTTGGTCTACTTTGCCTGAGGCAATTTTTAATCGGATCGTCACAGACTCATAAACCAAAAACCCTATTGCCTGAACCCTACGACACTTGGTCAATTGCACTTTGGTCTACTTTGCCTGAGGCAATTTTTAATCGGATCGTCACAGACTCATAAACCAAAAATGCCTGGCTTAATTACCCGCAGACTGGGTAATTCCAGCTCTGCTAACTACCTAAATAAAAGATATCTGGTTGATCCTGCCTGAACTGATGTGTTCATTTCAAAGATTAAGCCATGCATGTATAAGTTTAATCGTTTTAACGAGAAACCGCGAAAGGCTCATTACAATGGCCATGATTTACTTGATCTTGATTATCTAAATGGATAACTGTGGAAAAGCTAGAGCTAATACATGCACCAAAGCTTTGTCCTCACGGAAAAGCGCATTTATTAGAACAAAACCACGCGGCTTCGGCTGCTTCTTGTTGACTCAGAATAACTAAGCTGACCGCATGGCCTTGTGCCGGCGGCGTGTCTTTCAAGCGTCCACTTTATCAACTTGACGGGAGCATAATCGACTCCCGTGGTGGTGACGGATAACGGAGGATCAGGGTTCGACTCCGGAGAAGGGGCCTGAGAAATGGCCACTACGTCTAAGGATGGCAGCAGGCGCGCAAATTACCCACTCTCGGCTCGAGGAGGTAGTGACGAAAAATAACGAGACTGTTCTCTTTGAGGCCGGTCATCGGAATGGGTACAATTTAAACCCTTTAACGAGTATCAAGCAGAGGGCAAGTCTGGTGCCACTAGCCGCGGTAATTCCAGCTCTGCTAATACATAGAATTATTGCTGCGGTTAAAAAGCTCGTAGTTGGATTCGTATCGGTACCTTGGAACCCTTCGGGTGTTTCTGGGTGTTATCGATTTATCGTAATGTTCGGTTTTGAGTCCTTAACAGGATTCTTAACAGTCATTGCAAGTTTACTTTGAACAAATCAGAGTGCTTCAAACAGGCGTTTTCGCTTGAATGATCGTGCATGGAATAATAGAAAACGATTTCGGTTCAGTTTTATTGGTTTTACGGACTGAGATAATGGTTAACAGAGACAAACGGGGGCATTTGTATGGCCCCGTGAGAGGTGAAATTCTTGGACCGTGGCCAGACAAACTACAGCGAAAGCATTTGCCAAGAATGTCTTCATTAATCAAGAACGAAAGTCAGAGGTTCGAAGGCGATCAGATACCGCCCTAGTTCTGACCGTAAACGATGCCAACTAGCGATCCGCTGATGGAAATTATATTGCCTTGGTGGGGAGCTTCCCGGAAACGAAAGTCTTCCGGTTCCGGGGGAAGTATGGTTGCAAAGCTGAAACTTAAAGGAATTGACGGAAGGGCACCACCAGGAGTGGAGCCTGCGGCTTAATTTGACTCAACACGGGGAAACTCACCCGGCCCGGACACTGTGAGGATTGACAGATTGATAGCTTTTTCATGATTCAGTGGATGGTGGTGCATGGCCGTTCTTAGTTCGTGGAGTGATTTGTCTGGTTTATTCCGATAACGAGCGAGACTCTAACCTACTAAATAGCTGATACATACTCTTTGTGTATACAGCTTCTTAGAGGGATTTGCGGCGTTCAGCCGAAAGAAATTGAGCAATAACAGGTCTGTGATGCCCTTAGATGTCCGGGGCTGCACGCGCGCTACACTGGCAAAATCAACGAACTTGTCCTACCCTGAAAGGGGCGGGTAAACCATTGAAAATTTGCCGTGATTGGGATCGGAAATTGCAATTATTTTCCGTGAACGAGGAATTCCAAGTAAGTGCGAGTCATCAGCTCGCGTTGATTACGTCCCTGCCCTTTGTAC